GCTACCTGCAAATATTTATAGAGATCAAGCAGACTCACTTCGGGACAAGTCCTTCATACATACCAAAGGGACCTTTCCTGAAATGTAAACAGTTGGCATCTGCTGAACTATAATCCCTAATCAGAAACACAAACGTTTGGATTAACAAAAAATGGAAAGCCTCATTCTTTATTGTTGACCTCCCAGCACATATTTTTCACTTTCGGTGTTGTGTGCATGACCAGCATTCTTTATTCAGGACTGGAAATGCAGTGACTTTTTGGCATAGTGACCACAAAGGACAGTGATGGTTAAATTCAAGCAAGCACAAACCCTGGGTGATGTTCACTGACTTCAGAAGATTTGAAATCAAGCCTTCAGGTCAATGGTACACATGTGCTGCAGTATGAAGCAACTGAGATTTGATGCCCTTAAGAATCAGATAAATAAAAGGATATTTATTTTAACCCTTTAAAAGAATATATTGATCTGAGAAAGGAGGAACTCGAGGAAATATAAAATACAAGCTTGTGAGTACCATCATTGAAATCTATTTGGTTTTATACACAGAGTTTTAGCATCCCACTGCACCAGGGACTGTGTTCAATAACTGTTAAGTGAAAACACTTACCAGACCTGGAATTGTTGTCTGTCATATGTACAGTGCATATATATGAAATACAGAATGAATGTGTACAGAATATTCCATTGTACAAACTAAAGCTGTAATAATGAGTTAACTGCTTTGATAGGAATGCTGAGGGAATGAAATTTGAAATTATTTTCCAATGTAATTTCTTTTTGGTTAAATAGTGGGTTTTTTTGTTGAAGAGATTAAATACACAGCTATTGAAAAGCACTTGAAAGTTAGAGAAGAATGAGAATGAAATTGTAGGTGTTGGTGCTGAGAGCCAGGGGCACAAGCAGCAATCTTGGAATGTCTGCCTTTTCTGGTTTGTGCTGTGGTTTTGGGCTTTATGGATCCCAGTAGGACAAGCCATGATTAAGCTGGGGTTTCATGGATTTCAGTCTTACTCTTCCCAAGCCACACTCCAGCCACTGCTTCCAGCCTCATGCCAGAGTCTCCAAAAGTTGTTGGAGCTTTTGCAGGTCCAAAGCAGGAGGTGAAAGAGCCAAGTGCTCCAGGTCAGCCTACCTGGTGAGGGACTTTCCTGCAGCCTCTGCTCCTAAGGGTGCTGGATTGGTGACTGAAGTTGGGTCTGGCAGTGGCATCTCTGAGCCAGCACCTCTGTGGAGCTTGAGGCGCTCCCCAGCTGCTGCCTTGGGCAAGATGACAGGGAAGCAGTCACACTTCCTCTCAATTCTGCCTAGCTTTACACACACTCATGACAGGTACTCAGTGAAAACTCAATTTTTTCCTTTTTGATTTCACAAATCTATTTGGCTGGGAAGTAAATTCTGAATAAGTTCCAGGGAAGACTGGAATTGTCTACATTATAAGAGTTTGATGCCTTGAAACTGCTACAAAACAATAAAAAATAAAATCAGTAAAATACCTCTAAGTGCAATTTTAATTGTTTCAATAAGTTCTTTCAAGTTATATTTTCATGTAATTAATTTCTGGACAGTAAACTTCATTATACTCTAATAAAAAGGGAAGGTTTTCAAAGAAAGTTGCATATTGAATTTTAGGTCTGTGCATTAGAATTTTCATATGACTTCAAAATTATCAAAATAATTACTTCTTTTCTGTGCAAACATGAAGGGTTTGTCTTCATTCCTACTCTGTCATAACAAATCCAAAATTCTTGGCAGTAAAAAAGCATGCCCTGAAACCTATTGTCAATATTCACCTGTTTCCCTTTTCATAAGAGAATGTGATTTTACCAGACATCTATCCAGCTACCTGAAAAGCTGATTCCTATGGGATACATATATAGTTTATGTCTTAAGAGAAGAGACTCAGCTACTTAGTTTTTGAGAAAATTGTACAACATTTCAAAAAACCAAGACTTTAAAAGCAGAAAAGAAACCAGAAGGAAGAAAAAAAAAAGGAAAAATAAGAAAAACCTTAATATTGCAATCCATTGATAAAATTAAATTAGTTATCATGGGCTTAGCTTAGGTAAAATATTTGGGGACACAAAAAATATTTCATAAACACAATGAGATCTTCTGTCACGTAAAATCCTTATTCTTTCTTCAAGGGCCTGTCAAGAAAACTAGGTTTACTACCTAAATTTTATTTTTCAAAGTAAAAGATAGAATGTTCTGAAAATCAAGCTGTCACTAGTTAATGCTGTCAAAATAACATGTCAATTTTACACACTTGTTCAATTGGACTTCACTTTTTCTTCCTCCTCATTTTAAATGACGTTTGTTCATTTCTTATTCTCTGGGCCCTTTCTTCAGAGTCCCATGGAAACAAAACATAAAATCAATGATGCCAAAGTTTATGTAGGCTTAATATTGGGATGAAAAATGAAGATGCCTGATCCTGCTGTCAATAAAATGTATTTGTGTAGTTCTCCATGTAGCACTTTGAATAGGGCAAGTGACAGCAATCTCAATCTGAGAAGAGAAGGAGCTTTATGGCCATATTGTATGGGTGGCTGGTTTTATAATAGCCCAAAACAAAACATTCATGATCCTTAAACAGATTCAGATTACCAAATGTAGACAGGTAAAATAACCATGGACAATGCTGTGGAGTTCCAGGCTTTTTCCCATGTACTGCCCTGCTAGGAAAGCATGCCAAGGATTGCAGTTTATCAAGAAAGAGGAGAAATATTTCCTCCAAGGAATCTCTGGGTTCAGCAGGAAGTTCTCATGGTTCCTGTAGTCACTTGAGGTTAGATTATGGTAATTAATTCATATATCTAGTCTTTAATGCCTCCAATAAGAATGTCCTTGAAAGCAACCACAGGCAGAAGGGGACAGCTGATGTGCCACACCATTAGTTCAAATATGTAAACACTAGAAAAGGTTGCAAATGCACATTTCAGTCACTTTGTGTGTGTGTGTGTGTGCATTGCCTGGCTAACCACATGTGCATCCATAGGGATACTATATCTCTGAAAGGACCTAAATTACTTGCTTTGGCTTTGCTTCTTCCTTTTGATATTGAGCTGTCTATATGAATTGAAAGTGAGAAAATAGTTAATACCATATCTATTCATTGTAAACCTTTCCTGACTGATGACTTGCCTTCTCCTGGCATCCAGCATTGTAGCAGAAAGCAACTGTTATAACCTGCAGCTACAACTAATTCCTAGAGCTCAGCTTCTTTTCTAGGGAAATGTACTTTTCCTTAATACTGATGTTCAGGCTCAGAAAAAAAAATATGTATCTGAGGAAAAGTTACGCATGGAACTTCAGGCTGTTGCTCCTCTGGATGATACTTACCTGTTTTTCCTACTGAGAATCATGTGAATTGTTATCTATCATTGCATCCCCATGTTCATCCCTTAATACTTGTCAGTATGAGACACACCACTTAAATTTGCTGTCCAGACTGGGCAATTTCCTTATACAACAACATATTTTTTTCTTATTTTGTCTTGTGGTTTCATAAGTGCTAACAGATTCTTACCCAGTGCTTTTTAAATGTCTTACACAGACAGAAAAGGTAAACAACAGCTAAGCAATTGGTCTGACAGATAGTGGAGTCCCTCAGGAGGCATTCATAACATCCACACCAACACTCAGTTATTCTCTCTCAGGAGCACCATTAGCAGTTATTTCATCACCACTGTGTCTGTAATTCTGTAGCATCAGTCCCAAGGCTGGCCAGTTCTCCTCAGCAGAGGTTAAACTGTAGGCAAAACCACTTCACTGTTAAAAAGAAAGTAGAAACCAGCCTAAAGTGTTAAAGTTCCAGTTTAAAGTCCCATTAATATAGACACTTACTGATAAAATAATCAAACTGTGAACACAAGGGAGTAGTGTATTGACTTATTTTTAGCTGTGTAAAAAGGAACAGCTTGCATCTAATTTTTTGTTTAGATTAATAATTCATTTTGGTTTAAGTATGTTTTGATCCTGAGTTATTCAGAAAAATTATGGTTTTGAGAAGGACACAGTGTCATTAGCAATGTAAGTTGGATATGAACTATGAATAGGATGCTATTTGATGACCAATGTAATCTTGGTAAGAGTAAATAGTAAATAGTATTCAGAAATTGACAGCTTTTTCAAATTTGTCACATTTACTGGAAAGCCATGTGCCTTTATGGTTTGTTGAAAAAGGTATGGAAAGTCAAAAGTAGGTACAGAAAATAATTCTGAAAATTAAAAAAAATACAGGACAATGTACCAATAGTGAAATAGATTCTTGGCTATTAAATCAGTTGAGAAAAGACTGAGAAGTAACTTGACTACAGCCTTCAGGTACCTACAGGCAAAAAAGTATTCCTGACAGTAAAGAGCCCTCTCATTTAGGAGGAAGGAATGTGTAATTAGCTGGAGCCAAGAATTCCAGACTGTTCCCCCATCACCAAATTAACAATGAGAGCTTTCAACCATCAAAGCCATCTGGGTCTCTTAGAAAGATGTGCTGCACTTCACTCAGAAGCTACAGAGGCTGATAGATAACATTTTGGGACCATGCAGGAGCTTAGACTAAATGCATCATTTCTTCTGCCCTTAATATCTGTTTCTGAATCTAAATAAAAAATGGATAAGGTTAACAGAATCTGGCCCTCAGTCATATATATTTTATCATTTAATTGCATTTCCATTTGAGGATTATAATTCAGTTCTCATATGACTTCATCTCTGAAACTTTTCTACAGGATACCAGAAACAGAGTATTTCTTATTCTCATAATTAAACTTTGAACCAAATAAAAGTTCTTCAGCTTGCAACTCTGAATTACCATGTCAAAAATTTAAACAAATATCATTTTAGCTTCTTTGTTATGAATGAAGAGAGCAATCATATAGCACAGCAAAGTGTTAATATCTGTTATAGCCCTTGAGCTATACAAATGTGTGGTTTTGTTATGATCATGCTTGATATGCTATGTCTTGACTAAATTTTATTTCATTCTGTTTCTACAGGTTAGTGAGACTTTAATCAAGAAAAAAAATATCTAATGAACAGTCATTTGAAACACAGCATTTGGAAAGGTCAGAATGGTACATTACATCCTTATTATCCAAAAGAACAGATGAGTTTAATATCCTGGCAGCATTTTCCTGTGAAGAAGATATTAAACAAGAACTGAAAATGGTACAAGGTTCTTGCTTCCTTTTCTATGACAAAGATTGTAACAAGATGATGAAACTACACAGAATAAATCCCTTTCTGCTTTAATAGTTCAACTGTGAATTCTGTCTAGATTTCAAAAACCTAAGCCATGCAAAGAGTCAGCATGCATGCTATTTGTTTCAGTTCCTTTACACACTTTCCTGCTTATATGGTCCATTTTCCATTAATATTTTCTAGTCTTGAACATGGGAAGATATGTTAACAGAAGGTGCACAGTGCACCAAGATTTGCTTGATATGTCGAACTGCAGGAAATAATGTACTGCATCAGCACTGCTGAAAATACAGATTTTCCAGCTTCTCTTTGAATAACCTAAGAACAGAGATAATGTATTCCAACACACAACACATGGCATGTGTCCTGCTTTGGAGAGTCTCTGAAGGTATGGAACTCTTTGAAGGCAAAGGAATTTGCAGTATATCCAACAGGCTGTTTTAATATGAGAACTGTCAGAATTTCCTACTTTAAATTATTATCTGCATGAAGACTCTTCCTTTTGATTATAGGTCTAAGGGGGGAAAAACCTTCTGGATGTTGAATTTCATCCCTAAAATACACCATCAGGGTCCTCATGTTAAATTATTATGGCAACTGAAAAAGTGCTGTGCTTAAAAATGAAAAAATTAAGTATACAGCATGCCCCTGTATTAGTTACTTGAGATATGATAAATGTTACTTGAGTTACATGAGATATGATAAATGTGGTATTACCCACAAATGTAACAAGATAGATTTTAAAGATATAAATAATTGTTAAAGAAAACATTTTATGTCATTCCAAAGATAAAAAGTCTTGAAGTATTACTGGCTGAAGTAGACCTACATGGGTTTGCACAAGCTCACAATTAGAAATCATGTTGAACCTCTTTTTCCCACACCATCTTGAAGAAAAACTTGTCTGTGGTACATTATGTGCAGCATCTTGCTGAGAAAAACCATTCTGCTTTGGTCAAGAGAGACAAAACAACCATATGCAAAATATGTTTTCAGTATCTCGACTGAATGGATAAATATATATATTATACTTGTAAGTATATATATTATTTTTGGGGGGTTTTTTTTCTATTTTTTTAAGTAATTTTATTTTCCACCGGGGATTGTAAATGTATTTTTCATCCTTTGTTTTGCAACTATAAAGTAGGATAGCTTTTCAATGCATTGGCAATGTGCAATCTATTTCAAAACTTCAAAGGATTTGCAAAACTACAGAAAAAATCCCTAATGGGTGTTCATTTCGTAGGTGCCTACAGAAATTAATGCTTTCTGTGTGCCTAGAAAAAGTCCAATAGATACAAGTTTCTATCAAGTCCCTTGTTATTAAGCTAATGGTCCTTGAAACTGAAATTACTACAAATAGCTCTTTTCTTCTTCCTAACCAAATATATCAGCCATCCAATATGCCACATACAAAAGAAAAATAAATAAAACTATTTTTTTAGTTCCTAATTATTATTCACAGTATAAATCTGTGAATTTTTATAATTTTTTATCATTTATAACTTTTATAATTGCTAAGAACTCTGATCATATATACTTTTTCTATGAAAAAAATAAAATATTTGCAGTTGTATCCATCTTCTAAAAGATAATGTTTAGGGCACGACTGAATAAAAAATACAGGGTTTTGTGGGGAGACTCAATGTGTAGTCCCACAAACATCTCCAGGATTTCTTAGAGAGTCAGTCCAATGTATCAGATGAAGGAACTGGGTTTTTTTATACAGTTTTTCATTCTCATGATAGTGCAAAATGTTGTTGCTGTGTCACACAGTATTTAACATGGGGAACACCTTGAATACATTGTGCAGCCTTATTTAGTTCCTCTATAAAATGGATTTTTTTTCACTATGTGATCACAGTCATACTTTTTTGAAAAATTACCAAAATAATCAAGTGCATCTTATGAACCAATACAAAAGCTTGAACTTGAGCTTTAGGAGACACCTCCTTTTATCAATTGTTTCCAATAAATAATGTGGGGTTTGGACATTTCCATGAAGTCTTTCTTCAGTGAGGATGGTGAATATGAGTTTTGCATGTGATGTTGTGCCCGTGAACCCATGAGAACATCTCCAAGTACAAGGATCATGTACTCCTTTGTGAGGTATATTCAATAAATCAACAGCCAAACAAAACTGACAAACAAAAAGATGAGGCTGATGGAAAGGTGTCAGATTGAAGCAAGATCACAAAAGAGACACAGCAAAGCACAACAGGCTATGTGCAGCACACACATTCCCACAAATAGTATTTTGTGCCAGGAGTTGCTGGATCATCGTAATCCCAGTAACAAGGACACTCAGACTCTGTGAAACATGGTTTAAATATTTAAACCTTTATTGCAGCTAACACTTCAAAGGAAAAAAGGTTAGCACAGATGATCTTACATCCATCCATTCAGGTGCTGGGGAGCCCAAGTTATGCACCACTCAATGAGCCTCCATGCAGGCTCAGTATCCTGTGCAGATCCTGTCTGTGTAAAGGTTACCCAATATTTCAGTCTCTTGAGTTCCTGTAAGGTTTTCTTAAAACAAAATAACTCCATTCATCATTTTCACTGTCAAAAAAAAAAAAAAAGGATACACACATGGGAATTTGTTGCTGCTGCTTTAGACAAAGGCAAGGAGTTGGTGTGACCCAGTGGCAGCTGCCCACAGGTTACTTCATTACAATCAGCCAGCCAAGCTTGTCCTGCAGGCAAGGATGTGCAGAGCACAGCACAGAGCTGGAGCTCGTGCTGTGTGCACAGCACATTTTGTGTGCACAGCACATCAGGGCAGCCTGGGCCTGTTTGGGACAATGGCTGTGAGACACTAACTCCCCTAGCAGCAATGGTCTCCTGGTCAGGATCTCAGCAGATGTGTGCATGCATACCTGGTGTGCATCTGCATATAAAACCTGCTTTTGTTCTCCAAACTGAACTGGTAATCAGTATTAAAATCTGCATACATTAAAAACTGTGCATGCCCACTGCAAACACGCCTCTGTACAGGTCTCTGTTTCTCAAGCTGATGTTGTGCCAAAGTCAGATAGCTTTACAATTACAGAATTTATTACCACTAAAAGGCTGTGTAAATACCTTTTTGCAAGTGTGATTTTTGCGCCTGCAGCTCAAATTCTTGTTATACTTGCATTTGAATTTTTGTCATACAATGTTACTTGGTATTATATGAATAACAATCCATGAGCTAGAAAACAGACTAAAGTCAAAGGTACAAAGTCAGTTGCATTATTAAAGAGAGATTAAAATAATTTGACGTGAAAGGCATTTTAGAGACAATACAGCCTGTCTGACTTGCTGATTTGCACAGAACCCCATACATCATTCAGCTCTGCTACCACCTGACAGCTGCTCAGCATCTAATGGGAAATGTGAGGGTGATCACAGTCCAGTTCATAGTGGACAGGTGCTGGCATCACAAAAATCATCATCACAACTGGCACTAATTGGCACCTTTGTTGACAGTCTCAGCAGAGAGGCCACTGAATCTGCACAGAGGCTTCCTTGCAAAGTCTGCTGGCTTGGGACGCAGGGCTCAGCTCATTCTTCACTTAAACCATCCTTAGTTTTGCACATATTTCCTGGAACACAGTCAGGTCCTGATGCTCTATTTGCCTGAAATGTCTGTGAGCGTGGATATTACTGTGGCATCTCTCTGTAAGTGACACCTCTGCACAGAGAGTTAGACACACCTCAGGGACAGCAAAGCCTGCAACTGATGCTGGCCAGCAGAAGAGCCTGAGAGCTTTGGCTTGGGTGGAAGAAGACAAAAGGAGATCAAACCAAATGCTGTTCTAAAGGAGAAACTACACCCACATACAGCTCCAGTTTCACACAATATTTTCTTAATTTTAGTTAATTTTAGATACATCTGTGATTCTGTAAAGTTCTAGTAGCCACTTTTACTCTGTGCTTCAGTTTATTCTTTTGTATGAAGGTCTTATTTGTGTCACTCTCAGACATAATATGAGGTTTTGCTAACTGATCAGTGTTCTAAAGTATTTAAACATTTCTAATGGAAGTCAAAAGACACATTAAATATCACGATTCAAATTTATAGGAACTTTTGTTTCTTAATAATTCTATTAAATGAGTTGCAGGCAGTGACTATTGAATATTTCCATTTTGCATTTATACATCATTCACCCTACTGTAAATACAGTTGCATTGAATGCAGTTTCTTCTGTCACCTCAGCCTATCTTGTCCAAACCTGCAATTAAAACTAATTTTCCTTTAGTGTATAGAAACCTGTACTGTTTGTAGGTTAATTATCAGTTAAGATTTTTTTTAGCTCTGTAGACAAGTAAGGGTGATTAGTTTGATTGCAATAAGCAGCAGTAACTGAAGTATAGAGATGTTATTAGAGCTCATTACTACCTTTTTCCAAAGTGAAGAAAGAAAGGCAGGCAGGTAGGAGGAAAGGAAGGACAATAAACAAAGGAAGTAAATAAAAAGTAGGAAGGCTGGATAAAAAGAAAGAGAGCAGTTCTAATTTCATGTGTATGGAAAAGATGTTGAATTTATTGCACATATGTTGGTCAGTAGATGGATAAAAGTGAGAAAAAAATCCCTAGAAAAGTGATAAATGAAATCAGGCAAAATAAATCTTAAAGCACTGAGAAAATATGTAAAAAGCCCAAGTTTTGTCTGTATCTGAGGAAGAATGTACTTCCATTAGGAACAACAAGGTTATCAGATAATATCAACACTCAAAACACCAAGGTTGGAAGATTATAGGAGGCTCAAAACACCACTAAGCAAGAGTCTGAAATTCTCCCCATTGATTTTTCACTTGTGTATTACATCTGATCCCAAGGAAATACCTTCTCATTTACATGCATCTACATAAATTCTGGATGAAGCCACCAGCTTTTTTGTCCTCCAGTGTTAACAGTGAGCAGTGGCTGCTATCCTGTGCTCCCACAGACACTCTGAAAACAGAATATGTCATTGTTAGCCTAATGAGGGGAAAGGGGGAGAGAAATTGCTAAATGCTTTCTCTCTAGCCCAATTAAAGGAGAGGGAGCAAGATGAAGAGAGGTGGAAGGCGTG